GAGGGTGATGGGAGAAAATCAGAAAGAGACTAGACAGGAGGCTCAGAAGTTAAATGAGCTCTAGTGGTCCCTAACACACGTGCACACGTGCATGTATCTGCATGCATGTTACTGGTAAACTACTAATACCTAAATTTTAGGTGTGATTTTGGGGTCTAAACAATAAGCACTTGCTATGATATTGTATTTGGATTTCTCCACAGTCAGAATAGCCTTCTTGATTTTTCCCATGTCCTTCTCAGATTGCATTCTCTGACTCCCTCTGTCATTGCCCTATAATAAAACCAGCCCCCAGGAGTAAGGTGGGGAATTGTCAACTTACCTAGCAACTCAATGACCACTCACATTTTAACCTCTGTAAGATAAGGCTGAAAAGACCAAAAAGGAAAAGAAGTGGTCAGGAAATGAAAAGACAGCACCCCATGGCCCTCCAGGAAACTTGCCACCTCCCTCTGTTCTTATCACCCTTTTTCTTCCTTCATCATCTCCCTCCTACTCAAACTGGTGCTGACTCTGGATAAGCAACAGCTGATCTGGAGAAGCACAGTTTGTGCCGAGAGCCACAAGCAGTTTCACTTGGCACAGACTCTAAAGGAGAAACAGCCCTTTGTTTCATCTACCAGAGAGAATGCCACCAACTCCTGCTACAAAAATTCCCACACTCCCCTTTCTGTCAAGGCAGAGAAAAAGTCCTCTAGCCCTTCCAAACCTAGCAGAAAATAAAAGCTGCTTACTCTGTGTGACCACTGGCAGATGCAAAATGTAGAGCCAGAGGCCCTGCCAGCTGTCCACACCCCTCATCCCTCCCAAAAGCTGACTTTGGCCGCAGAACTCAGCACACAACTTCTGCTTAAAATCTCATAGCACCAGCAGAGGCTGTCACTTTGAGGCAGAGGCTGTCACTTTGAGCCAGAGACTAAATCCTGGGCATATATGTTCTATTTTTACCCTCCTCGTCCCCCACAGACTTCCCTCCAGATTCCTCACTTTCAGGGAGAAAAAACAAACATCAAGTCAAGGTAAGGAAGTGATAACATGACAGGAGACTGACTGGAACCCAGGGAGGATTCTTACGCAATTCAAGACAAGGCAGGCATGTCTCACACCCAGAGCAACAGAGGATGAGGGCTTCAGAGTCATTTCCACATGTCATGTGATTTGAGTGTTGCCCCACGATTTTCAAGCAAACTTTCCATTAATAAAAAAAAAAGAACTTCTAATGAACCCTGACCTCATTTCCTGAAATAGCCTTAGACACACATACACAAGCCTGTATACGTAATTTACCAAATCTGTTATCAGGCAAAAGCAGCCCGCTTCCTGTGTCCACACACATGCGCACACGCAACCTTCCTTGGCCCTATCTCCTAGCAGAGCAGATTTAGAGCTTCTATCACCTGTTTAAGAGGAAGACGCTATAGAAAGTACTGAAAACTAAATGTAACACTGTTAAATTCCAGTTTTCCAAGGGAGAACTCCACAACAGCTTTGAGTAGAGCAGAAACCCTGAGCTTTAACATAGAGAAATTCTTTACTATCCTGACATAATGTTTTGAAAAAAGGGAAACGGGGGGTCATTTTCATCAGGAGCTGTGCTTCTCACCAAAGGCAGTGAGCAGAAACATTTTGAAAATACTTAGCTCTCAGCAAGTGAAAATTCTGATATTAAAATGTAATTGGATCCTTACCTATTCTCCTCACAGAGGGCCTTAAAAACTCCTTCTACTGAAATGGAGCCGTTTAGTCTTCTAATAAAGAAAACTCTTGATGGTATCATATTGACTCGCTTAAGAAAAAAATCCGCTCCCCACACACACCCTGTAGTTAAAAAGGTTTTACCAACTGGGTTTGACAGAACTTACTTGCAGAATATAATACTTATTTTCTGAGCCCTTAGCAGTACAGTAATAGTTTTCCCTTTCATATCTGGACCTCCCCAAAATTGTGCAGAGAAAAATGGCAGCCCCCTGTGCTTCCTCCCCACCAAGAGGCCCTGGCCCACCTCTCTCCCCTGCCTCCCACACTTTCTCTAGTGCATGCCAGGCTTCTCCCGGCATTTAGGTGTAAGCTGGCACTATCCTCTTGAGAGATTGCTAATTCTTTTTTTCTTGTTTCCAGAACTGAGATTCACTAACATCACTTGACTTTATAACTTCTATTTTCCTAAAAAAGTTGTACAAATTATATGTAGCTCATAAATTAAATAGAAGTAAAATTATTGTTTTATGACTTCTCTGTGAATTTCTCATATCCCCTACAATCACCAGGTAGCAGAAAATTGGAGCAGAAATTCCTTCTCAGGTGTTTTTTTTTTTTTTTTCTTAAATCCCCAACTAAATTGAAAGTTCTTCAGGGGCCGAGACAATCACTGAATAAATGTAAAGGACTAACTGTAGGTAGCAGTTTGCTTTAAGAGGTTTTCTTCTGAGTGTTTTTTATTGTTTTAAAAATTAAATATTTTTGGATCTGCTACTATACAGAAGTACCTGCTGGTTTCAACAACTCATGTTGCTCAGAACTCTTTCTAGACAGTTATTTTACATATTATGGAGAGACTGAATTCTCAGATTTATAACTCCAAAATTTCATGGTCTCCCTCCTCTTTGAGGGGTGGGGGTAGGGTAAGGACTCCAGCTCACCACTCAGGCTCCTACAGGTCTGAGAGCTGACTCAGTCTTAAACAAAGGGCCATGTCTCATTTACCAGTCTCAAAGCCTACCACTATCCAATGAACACTTACCACTATGTGGCACAATATGGCTCAGGGGTCATTACCTCTTTACCTTAACCTGTTATTTCTCCGACTCCTATTCTGGGTGGCGGAGAGCTCCCCAAACCACGCCCCTCCCCAACATTTAATGATCTATCAGAAAAAAAACATGAGTCCAGCAAAATATCAACAAGTATTCTCTCTCTTGGTAGGTAAATTTAGACATTTTGTTCATTATCTGTTTCATTCCAACTGGCACAAAGAAAAAAATGTAAGGCCTTTATTTAAACTTATTTAGCAAGATGAAGCCTCAGAAGCAGTCAGCTTAGATTTAAACAAGTACTGCATCAACAAAGCCAAATCTGAGTTGTCAACAAAAGGAAGTTATTCTTTATTCCAGAAAGAGACCTTAGAAAGTCACTTGCTTAGTGCTAATCAGAGAGAAGCAGGGCAGGCTTGGTTATGCACTGCTTATTAAAGCACCCACCCACCCTGAACTGCTTTAAAAACTCCAACAACACTTTTAAACTGTATTCAGAGTGGAACTTTATACTTCTGTGTAACTGAAAGATGCTGCTCCACAATACAGCAATACCAGATATCTTAATTAAATAATTTTACTGGAAAAGAAATTACACTTTGAGCACCAAAGCAAGAACCCTGCTTTCAATCAGTTTAGTAGATCATGTCCCAAGAACAAAATGCTCAGGGCGGGCCCAGCAGACTCCACATTGTTAGGAAG